GGGTTGAGGGTTTAGGGTTTAGAAATGATCTAGGGGTAAAGGTTTTTGGAGTCGTATCCGGTTTGTTCTTGAGTATCGGGCTTTTTGAGGTCCCTGTGTTTGGTGAGGACCGGCTGTGCCGTGTTAGCCCGTCCCTCAACCATGAAGTTGGTATAATTACGAGGACCCTGCGAGTTAGTTTGGGTTTAGGGTTTAGGGTCCTGTACTAGTAGTTTGAGAGACTCTGATGTGGGCAGAATAGGAACTACATACAATTTGGCAGCGCATTTGGCCGTTCCTACTAAGCACGGATCCCCCCAGTATTCCCCTGACCCCCATTTGTTTGCCGAGGCGTTGGAGTTCTGCCACCGGTATGCTTCTGCTTGTCCTTCAAGTAGCGAAGTCCAGATGCGCTTGTCTGTCCGACTTTGAGAGCATGTACCGAACAGAAAGCCAAAGCACACCCGTGCTGCATGCAATCCAAGTAGATAGATAAATGAGTGTAAATGGCAGGTTGCCGAGCAGACGGAACAAACCGTCAATGCCTTGGGCGGAAGTTGCACAGTCGGTCCATCTTCAAGTCTTGAGAATCTGATACTATGACGGTCCAGGGATTTGGTGATGTGAGGTGATTCGAGGTTGAGGCAGGAGAGCATGACACCACCTGGCTGAAGGGTTTACTCAAAGCTGTGAACTTTCAGAGGGCTTTCAATTATATGTTCCTTTATTTTGAGATCTAGCTACCTTCCCTCTCTCGGGTGTGTATGGGATGACTACAGCGGAGGGCCCCGTGGCAAGTTTACGGTATACCCTGAACGTCCACGCACTCATTTCCTGCTGGGGTTCATAACGCACCGAGTTCCTGAGTGGTTTCTGGAATAGCATAACTTCAACCTTTAAAGAATTTGTCTCAGATTCCAATCGTTGGGTTCCAAGAGTAGACTCGCCTCAAACAAAACGTGTCTCAGGCCATCCCAGATAGCATCCAGTAGTCCAGCCATTAAACTTGAAGCAACTTTTCCGATATCCGATGTGCTGCGATGGATGACGACGAGAAGTTACTTTCCAAGGCGGGGCTCCGAGCATATCAGTCGGGGATTTTTCCGATTTCGTGGGAGAAAAATCTTGTGCGAGGCCCTTGAGCTATGAAGGTCCCGGGTTCTTTTGCCAGACGCCAGAGCCTCATATCCATCGTCTTTTCCAGAATGCAGTAGGCTTGGGCAATCCTGGGATCAATAAGGTCTTTCGCAGAAGATTGTGCAGAAGAAAGACCAGGGTGCCTCCGCTTCCGGCTCTGCTGTGCCTCCACTCTTTGTGCTCTGTGGGCTGGTGCTTCCGGTTGTGCATTGATGGATCCTAAATGTTTTGCAGGCTCGAAAGGTTGCATTGGTTGTCTGAAATATGACAAGAAATCCTTCGAATGATTCCCGAACTCATCTCGGCCTGCTAGCTCGGGGCATTCTTTCGATTTCCGAATTTTTCCACCGGCCCCTAGCCATGCCTGATGTCAAGCTGAACGAGGAGCGAATGGACCTCCTAAAGGACCGATCTTTCTAGTTGATATGAATTCTTGTTTATGTTTTACTGCTCGAAGGCTCTGTACACCGAGATGCTGAATCCCGAGTTCATCAACAAACGTATCAAATTGGCCAAGAAGAAGGCCGAAAAAGATGAATCGATGGGGGAGGCCTGGTCTTCTTAGTTTTCTTCTCAGATTGGACATTGCATTCCTGGGCAGGGAAAATACCATTTCCAATTCGTGGATCTGGGCACGATACCCCAGATGAGCGAGGAAAAGGCCTGCACTCATCCTAGCTCCTGATGGCTTGCTTGCTCACTCCACCATCTCAGGTCACTTCCGGTTTCAACTTCCCGTTCTTGATGGATTACTGTGCGACTTTTGCGGGGTGGATGCCCACGAAGCGAGAAGTTGAGGCCAGTTGCTTCGTGGTTGCGATATGCCGATATTTCAGCCTTGATGGTGCAGGCTTGTCTCGCTTGGGCCCATGATACCTTTCGCCTTCTTCCTGAATCCATGGGCAAACACGAGATTGCTGTCGGCATCCTATCCATCACTTAAATCTAGTCACCTTGTCTGGGGATTGACTTGGCTTCGGTTGCCGAGGCTTGGATGGAAAAAGAAGCCTCAGCTCAACGATCTTTGGCTTCTTATGCTGTCGACAGGGCCCATCGAAACAAGGGTTCCAGGCAGGGGTTTGTACTACCGATAAGTTTTCGAGCTTTCACTTGGCACAGGCCTGGCCACGACAAGATGAAGATGCTGAAAGAGGTCATCAAAGTACGAAAGGAGGACCTCCTTATTAGCAAATAGTAGTTGTTGTCGAAATTTCTTCTTGTTGCAGGAAGCAGCACAGGATGCGAAGCTTGTGAACAAAGCGACAAGCACGAAGGCTTGGGCTTTCACGCGAACTTAGTTTGCTAGGGAGTCGGTTCTTTCGCCCAATATGTTTACTAAAGTCAATAATCCCAAACTAGAAGCTCTATTCAGATATCATTCATGCAAGGCTTAAACGACTTCACCCATAAAGCTCAAGACCCGAAGCAGCATTAGCAAGCACACCGATAACTGGCAATCATAAAGAAAACCGCCACTTACCACCCCCGACCCCTTGCTGCTGCTGCTTGTTCGTGGCTGCCGCACCAGGATACAGCTGCCTCCTCCAGAGGCCAGGCTGGGGAAGAGGAAGATGAAGGGGAAGAGGAAGATGAGGGGGAAGAGAAAGATGAGGGTGAAGAGGAAGATGAGGGGGAAGAGGAAGGGGCTAAGGGCGAAGAGGAAGGTGAAGGGGAAGCTGAGGCTTGTATGAGCGATGTTGATGACAAGGGCACCTTTAAGGCCAGTTCTGTTTGGCACTATTCAGGTCTTGTTGGAAGCACGACAGACCCCTTGATTTTCTGCTTGTCAGGATGAAGGAGACGACCCAGGTCCGGTGCCGAAGCTTTCCAAAGCTACATTAAAGAAAGCAGCTGATGCGGCTTTCCGAAATGAAGGGAACGATGACCGTCGCACAGTTCTGGAGGCTTCTTGTTGCCTTATTCACTTAATCGATGCTACCTCCCATCTCTGGCTCTCTCTCTCTCTCTATCTCTGCCTACCTGGTTTCCTTCTTCCTTCTGGGAGATTTTTGCCCCGCAAAGGCTCAGAAGAGGACGAGGGCAGCCCTTCGGAAGGGTTGCGAGGATATGTCAGAGCCCAGGAGCCCTGAGTCGTTGCCCGAAAAGGCGGGCAAAAAGAAGGGACGAGGTCGGGGCCGGGGCCGTGGCAAGGCCCAGATGAAGAGGCCTGCTGCAGCTGATGCCCAGCCACCTGCCAAAAAAGGCAAGACCGGTAAAGGCAAAGAAAAGGAGAATGAAAATGAGGAGGAAGGGCAGGAGGATGATCACGATAAGCAGGAGCAGAGCACAAGCAAAACCAGCAAGAGCAAGAAGAAGGGCAACAAGCCATGCAACAAGCAGGAAGAGGAGCAAGAGAACCCAGAGGAAGAGGAGCAAAAGAACCCAGATGAAGAGGAGCAAGAGAACCCGGAGGAAGATGAGCAGGAGAACCCGGAGCAAGAGGAACAGGAGAACCCAGAGGAAGAGGAACAAGAGAACCCAGAGGAAGAGGAAGCAGAGAACCCAGAGGAAGAGGGGGAGATATGCAAGGAGCTACCGCCGAAGGCAGCAGGGTAATTTGCTTAGACGGTCGTTCTTTGTTCTTGCATTGTCTTACAACAAGTTAGCTTTTTTTGGAATTAAGGCAGGGGTATGATTTCGATTTGATTTCGATATCTGATCTACAAACTTATCTCCTTATTGTCGGCCTCCCTCTCACTCTCTTTCGAATTTAGCTGTCCCTCTTTCTTCAATCGGTCCTGCACGTGCCAGGTCCAGCAGTACTTGAAGGAGATGAGGGCCATTGCCGCCAAGGACCATCGGTTCCTGGTTGCTGAGCAGGAGATTCTGAATGGAGTCAGGTCCGATCCTTAATTCTGAATAAATCAGAGCTTGAAACCCTGCCTAAACCCTGATTTTCGATGAGGTCTTGGACCCTGGAGAATGATGCATCTCCCTGCAAGATCGGAGTTCGGCCGGAGTCCCAGAAATGTGAAGGCTAAGATTGCTTCTCTGTCGCCACACAGACCGATTGCACATGGAATCAGGTTTCAGTTCGGCTCGGGCAACTTCTACATTAGTGGCCTACGCAAAGCGGTCCTAGACAAGCTGAACAAAGAGAATCTGTGTGATCATCAGTTTCAGGTCGCTGGCCCAGATATCGGTTGCATGTGTCGCACCAGAGCTATATAGCCCCCCCCCCCCCCCCCCCACGCCGAGATCAACCGAAAACAGACCCTCACGGTGGGCTGGTCGAAGTTTCCCAACATGCAGAAAGCGCCTGGAGCCTCAATCTACTCGTTGCTGCATCTGCTCTTAGCTTTGTGTCACTGGAATCTTCTCTCGCTTCTCAGGTGGGAGTTCGCTACACGAGCAGCCGAATGGTGATCCATGCGAAAGTGTCCATCGAAAGATGTTGCTAGATCTGCAATAGCTGATGTTGCACATGTCCTCGAAGCTTTCTGCAAGAGGCAAGAGGTCCAGGACTTCCAGGCTCTGGATCTTTTGAATTAGGGCTTCAGTTTTCGGTGTTAGGGCGAGGTTGGGGTCTGAAGTTCTGTGCCAAGGCTACCTTGAGACCCTTAAGCCCCGAGACCCAAAGACCAGTGGTTGAACCCCCGAAGCCAAACCGCCCTCTCTCCTCCGAATAATATCCCTTGGCCCCAACACACCGCACCAAAACCCGGAGGCCTTAAACTCCCGAGCCCAAATAAATAATCATTTCTTCCAGACCCCAACTTGTCGCAACCCAGGCTGGGAAGTCGAGCAGCTCCAGACTTTCAGCTCCGGGTGCAGGAGAATCTGCAGCAGCTGGCTTTGGGTTTCTAGGTTAGGCCGGTTAGGCCCGCTTAGGGTTCAGTAAGGGTTAAGGGCCAAAGGTTAAATACGTATTTTAGGATATTCGTGTCGAACAAGCTCAAAACATGTCAGCCGGAGACCACAAAAGCACCGACTAAACCCTAAGCCCTTAAACTCTCAACCCTGAACCTGAAATTGCCATGATTGTGGTGCCCTTTGAACAACTGCTTCGTCGGACAGAGCCAATCCCCGCAAACCTTCTCCTTCTTCTTTCTACCCACGCTACTACTACTACTACTACTA